AAGTTGGAGCTAAACTCTGCAGGACACCGGCCCTCCAGGACCGAGTTTGGGCACCCTTGCTCTAAGCTAACGCCTACGTGCCTGTATTGAATATGATTACGCATCGCTCCAGTAGAGTTATTGTAAGACAATTTGACATTACACAGTTTACACAAACCTTTTCAGTTTCCTTCTAATTCAGAATAATCCCACACCTTCTCGTCTTTCGCGTGGTCATTTTTGAACTCACCCAACTGACACATGTGAGGTCTGAGGTAAAAATGTAGTTTCCGCCCAGATAAACTTTTAAAAATAATGTATTATTTTTCAAACGTTTTATTTTAACTTGTTATTTAAAATGTTTTAAATGCAATGTTAAAATGACGGTAATTTGAATGATAAAATCAAGTTTTTTTTCTTTTCTGTCGTGTAATCGACTATTGTTTTCAGTGTCGACTAGTAGGAGCTGTACCGTTTAGTCGACTAGACCCGCACATCCCTACCCCTTAGATGTAAAATATTTACTTTAAGTACCCCCTATGAAATTAAGTTAATATTACAATAAATTAACACATCCACATATTCACGGTTCTCTGGTGATGGTTGATAGTCACAAGACTTGCAAATAAACAAAATACATATTTTTTTTACGGTCATTTTTTTAATTAAATGAATTTAAATTATTATTTTAATGAAATATTAATAATTATTAATTTTAAATACAAAAATTAAGGCAAATGTACTTTAACTGTACTTCAAACTTTACTTCAAAGTAAAAAAATTTTTTTTTAATTTGACAATTAGAAATAATTTTACACTACAAGTTGCAACTACTAATAATAAGGTTTGTGTCTTAAATTCTTCATTTTCAAATGTCTAACCCTCAACGCATATAACATTCCAAACCTCAAGATTTTATTTTGGCAGAATACTGTTGAAATGCTGTAAACGTTTGTCCACAAAAATGTTGGAAATTATGTGAATGTAAATAAAGAGAACCTAGTGCACATTGCAGTCCCAAATGCACTCATCTAAATAGTGATTACCATTTTATTTTGATTTATCTTGCTGCCCTATTTATCTATTTTAATTTTACATTCAATTTTATTAATTATTCGCTTTTCATCACCTCACAAAGCCATTGCTAATTCCCTCACGAACCCCCGTTTGGGAAACCCTGACATATTCAAACAGAGATTTTTGAACTGACAAAACTCATTTGTTGAGGCATTTTTGGGATTCAGTTTTGCTCCTTACCTGCAAGAGTTCTTTTCCTCCACCTCTCTTCTCCACATCCATCTCGAGGCAGCGGTTTAGGAAGTCTCTAAAAATGGGTGACAGCTTCTCTGGGTTCTGGAGCTCTGGTGTGCCATTAGTAGCGATGAGGTACAGCGCCTGGAGATGATCATTAAGCATTAATGCCATAAATCTTTTCTTTAAAGTTAAACAGATCACTTGAACCACCGTCATTAATTACAAAAAGACTTAAATTAATCAGTGACAGAGTCAGGAAAGTCTCACCCTCAGAGGATTCTCGTTGAGATAAGGAGGTTCGCCCTCTACCATCTCAATGGCCATGATACCCAGGGACCATATGTCCACTTTGGGCCCGTAGGCTTTACGTGTGACCACTTCAGGGGCCATCCAGTAGGGTGTTCCTACCATGGTGCTTCTCTTACTTTGCTCAGGCGTGATTTGAGCACAGAACCCAAAATCAGCTGAAAAGAGAAGAGCAGACAATTCATTCAAACTGTTCTGATATAATGAAGCCAGGACTTGACAGTGGGATCATGGACTCACTTAGTTTGACAGATCCATCCATTCCTAATAGAACATTGTCACTTTTGATGTCTCGATGAATAACCTGGTTTAAATGCAGGAACTCTAGAGCTTGTAAACACTGTAGAGGAAACAGACCACAATGCTCAGGTGGTGATGGGAAAAACAAATGGCTCTGAGCTCACAACTACTATGCCAGAAATACTGTACCTCTCTGCAGACAGCAGCGATTTGTGCCTCATCCATGCAGGTTTCTGTAACCACATCAGTCAGAGAGCCTCCAGCAAGATACTCCATTACCACAAAGAGCTCATCTCCTACCAAGAAGCTGCACATACAAAAAAAAAAAAAAAAAACAGAAGGTAGATGTTACAGTAGAAGGCTGAAAACATTATGGGATACAATGCACAAAATAATCAAGTTTAAATAGCTTTAAGGGATGTAAAGTAACTACCTGTCTACGAAGTTGACAATGTTTGGGTTCTTCATCTCCTTCATCACCAGGATCTCATTGATGATCAGCTCCTTCTTGGGCTGCTTCTGTAGGTTAATCTGCTTGATAGCTACCTACAGAAATTTATTTGAAATAGAAATCCTGTGAATGTCTTCACTATCATTTTTTATTTATTGCGTGAACAGTAGTGTACATCAAGCAATTGTCTTAGACCCATACATAAATTCAATTTTTATTCAAGGACTTTTCTCAGGAAACATTGATTAAAATTTAATTAAGAACTGAATAGAGAAAATACCTCTTGGCCAGTAGCAACATCAATGGCTGTATACACCGTACCAGAAGCACTGTAAAAAGACAACATTCAATTGAAGCAATCTTAGATTATAGTTAATATAAATTCAGCTACTGGCTAACTGTTTTTGTGATACAGACTGACATATTGAAAAAATAACCAAGAATCATAGAATACATTTACCCTTGTCCAATTTTTTCGTATCTTGTGTATTTTTTCTTGGGGTCTCCAATACTGACAATAGTTCCTGAGATCAATCACAACAACACAGTTAGGATTCTGTCATACAGAATCACTTTCACATGCTGCAGTGCATATAATAATAGTATTGTTATAGTGAGCATCTCTAATGTTGAGTAACCACAAAAGACTTACTAAGTTTCTCCATAATCTCCTCATCTGTCATCTTGCCCTTGCCCTTCTTCTGTTTATCTGCAGCTTTGCAACCATCTGTGTCTGCAATGGCAGCAGGTGCCGGAATAGGATCGATGACAGAACGAGTGTATACCTATCCAGACAACAAAGACACCAACAATATGGTGTTCACTCAAGAACCAGTATGAAATTAAAATTAAGTAATATACCTATTTGACATGATATATATGACAAGAAATCTTCACTCACAGATATGGTATGCTGTGGACGTGGTGCTACAACAGGGGGCGGGGCTTCATCATCGTCATCATCATCAGGATCCTTGACTGGTGATTGCTCTGAGCCTTTTTTTGCTGGTGGTGCATCTTTATCTGAAATCAAGAGGAGGAACATAGACATTAGAGGATGAATTCAAATACAGTTGGAGTTGTGGTATGTATATGTACCCATTTACCTGTAAAACTGAGGTATTTCTGCCTGCTGTTGCCTGTGGAGTCGTAGAATTTGAGCACATCCAGCACAGCCTGAGGGTTTTTCTTCTGCTCAGATTTCGTGATGTTGGAGGTCTGCAGCAGCCGAGCCCACTGCTCTGGCATGCCCTGAGACACAGATAAAGATAGAGAAATGGGAAAGAAAATAAGAAAGTGAGTTAGGGCCCATCTGATAATTTGATTAATTAAACTTCAGCAAATTAAATTAGTGCACTATGACAGACAGGAGACAAATGGTCACAGAAATCAATCTTGCCAATTCTTTCTAGCATCTGATGGATTAGGACAGATCAGGGGCAGCATGGGTAAATTGCACCAGAGGAAAGTAGGAAAGTATGTCTAACTCACAGTGAACTCCCCCGTGACAGAATCGAAGCCCACGTGTATGGTGTGCTCGAAGTCAGAAGGATTTGAAATCTCCGGACGCTCCTTATCCTTGTCTTTTTTTCTTCCTTCAATAGAAAGAAGGCTTGTGGTTACATGCTTCTGGTCACTGGCAAAATGACAGATTCCAGTGGACAATTTTACAATCAATCAATGATCCCAAGTCTGAGATGAGCCTCTGTGTCCAAAAATGTGATCAATTACAGCATACTATAGAAGGGTCAGTTAAAGGAATGTGTTGAGTTCAATACAAGTTGAGCCTTATTGTCACCATTTGTGGTATTATGTGGCAAAAAAAAAGCAAAAATCTGGGTTATAGTAAGTCATAAACAATAAAAGTAAACAGGACAACTCAAAATGTTGAAAAAATTTAATTTGAACGTCAAATCTTTTTTGTTGTTGTTTTTTTATAGTGAAGAACAAAGGGTTTTTTGCTAGGTTCTGTTTTTTAGGGACATTACTTGATTAAAAAGTGAATGAAAATAAATATTAAGCCAATATTTAATCAAATTAATCACATTAATATTTTTAACAGAAAATTAGCCCCTAAAAATCTTTATAATTGCGAATTTACATACAAAAAAAAAAAAACCTAATTTTGAACTAAAAAGCTACATTGAAACCTATAAAGCTAAACTGAAACCTCATGACTTGCATATGGTTAAACCTTCTGACAGAGAAAAATTAATACACATGAATGATGCTGTTAACAAATTACAAGTTAATCTGCTTAAAACCACAATCCTACTTCAAAAATTTGCAGCTCAAATAACAATATAATCAAGAAAGACAATTTAAGTGACATTTTTTGTGCCTTAAAGAAAACCCAATTTTTGAGGCAAAAGTATTTTTCTGTGGTATTCAACACAAATGCTGTTTTGTATTGTCCCAAAATACTGATTTGAATGCACCCTGGGTCCTCTGGTCTTACCTTTCTCTGCTGAGAAGATGGATATGATCTTGTTGCGTGGTTTGTCCCTCTTCTCCTCTGGGACGGAGGGCAGGGGTTTAGAACTGGGGTTTGTTGACATACTGTCCTTGATGCCAAAGTTGCTGCTCATTCTGACTGGGGGGGCAGGGGGTTTGTCCTCCAGCTCTCCGTTGTCAGACATGACAGGGAAACACACTCAGAAGGGTAATAGGGTTTCAGAGATCAACCTGCAGAGGGCGGCAGAGAAACAAACAACTTAGCTGATAAATGAATTGCTGCACTAAAGACAATTAAAGGGGTCATATGATGCGGTTTCAATTTTTCCTTTCTCTTTGGAGTGTTACAAGCTCTTGGTGCATAAAGAAGATCTGTAAAGTTGCAAAGACTAAAGTCTCAAATCCAAAGAGATATTCTTTATAAAAGTTAAGAGTCAGCCACACCTACCTAAAACGGCTCGTTCTAACACGCCCCCACATACCTACGTCACGATCTGACCGGCTGTTCTGACTCAAAGACTGCAAGTAAGTTTCTTTATATTTAAAGAGTTTTTATATTTTATATATTTAAAGTGAGTTTTTTGGGCA